CCTCAACTTGAGAGACCTGATGGATGTGAAGCACTGACCACGAACGCAGACCTCACCTCCTTTTATCACTTCTTCCATGTTCCTTTCTCTTCATTCTCATTATAAAATTTTTGAGAACTGAAACTTTTTAATTGTATATAGTCTTAAGTTTTCAGTATTTTCTGTATGGCTAGTATCCATCCTACACCCTTGGAAAAATATTTTCCTACACTAAAGAAGATACTTTAGAAGTTTCCTTGGTTTTATTTTTATATTAAGACCCATAATCCAACTAGAATTGCCTTTTGTGAGCAGTGTGAGCTAGGGATCCAGTTTAATTTTTTGCCCACCATTTATTGAAGTGAACTTATGTTTTGCCATCTTACTACAGTGGAACCTGTGACATAAATCAAATATTCATATCTATATGTAGGGGTCTATTCTGGATTCTCTGTTCTGATTCATTTGTCTTTTCATCTATTCTTCCATCAGTACTATACTATCATAATGACTTTAAATTTATAGTAAGTTTTGATATCTAGTACAGCAAGGAGTAAAACAGTTATTTATAATGATCTTAGCTATCCTAGGTCTTTTTTTCTATATTAATTTTATAATGGTCTATTTATTTTTATATTTTAAATTGTCCAGATTTTCACTGGGAGTACATTATATTTATAGATCAATTAATGGAGAATTGACAACTTTAAAATATTGAATATTTCAATCTATGAAGACCTATTTTTTTAAAAATATATTTTTGGATGTCGTTGAACCTTTATTTTATTCATTTATTTATTTGCAGTGCTGAGGATCAAACTCAGTGCCTCACACATGCTAAGAAAGTGCTCTACCACTGAGCCACAACCTTATCCCCTAAAGATCTATCTTTTAAAACTTTTCTTATTAATATTTTATAAGCCTCTGTGTCAAAGTCTTACATATCTTCCATTTATTTCTAAGTATTTGATTATTTTATGCTATTATAAATGTCATTTTCTTAATTTCATTTTCTATATATTTGTTGTAGTGTATAGAAACACAATTTGATTTTTGTATGATGACCTTGAATCCAGCAATTTTGCTTGGGTCACTTACAGTAATATTTTATTCATAGTTTGTCTTAAGTATATAATTTTCTCAAGTACACAATTATGTCATTTGCAAGTAAGAACAGTTTTATTTCTTTGCTTTCAGTTTTAATTTATTTACTTATATATTTGCCTAAATGCACTGGCTGGAACCTCCAATACAATATTAAATATAAGTAGTGACAGTGGACATCTTTGTTTTGTTCCTTTGTTTTTTGGACAGCAAACATTTAGCAGTTTGCCATTATTACACTGGGTTTATGAACATCCTATTCTTAATTTTCTAAAAATTTTTTAAAACTTATGAATAGATATCAAATTTAACTAAATGTTTTCTTTACTATTTTGTTAATGTGCTAAATAACATTAATTATGTCTAATTGTAAAACAGTGCATTAACTGTCTAATGTTTAGTGGTAAACTGCCATACATCCTTACCCACAGTATATCAGTCATTAACATGCAACCCTATTCTCTCTACTCCCTCCCTCCCTCTCTCTCCTCTTTCTATCTCTGTATTGCTCTTTTTTTAAAATCATTTTTTAGTTGTTAATGGACCTTTATTTTATTCGCTTATTTATATGCAGTGCTGAGAACTAAACGTCCTAGGAAAAGCGCTCTACCACTGAGCCACAACCCCAGCCTTTCTCTCTGTATTACTCTTGCAGAAGGCACTGGCTCTTGCCCTTCCCACCCTCTCAAGAAGCTAGGCTTCACTGGGTGCAGTGGCACACACCTACAATCCCAGGGCCTCAGGGGACTGAGGCAGAAGGATTACATATTCAAGGTCAGCTTCAGCAATTTAGCAAGGCCCTCAGCAACTTAGCAAAACACTATCTCAAAATAAAAAATAAAAGAACTCAATAGTAAAGTGCACCTGAGTTCAATCTCCAGTACCAAAAAAAAAAACAAAACAAAACAAACAAACAAAAAAAACTGGCTCTTATTTCTCTCAAACAAACAGAAAAGAAGAGCTAGACTTCTGGGGAAAAAAAAAAAAAACATAGAGGACCTCAGTACTTCCTCCTGTCATGCTAGTTTCTGCTGCCTACTGGGAACAAGGGAGGGGAAAAATACAAGAATAAATACAAATTAATCTTTCACTGAAATCGTTCTATCTAAATCTATCTATCCTAACCATTATGACTCCAACCCAGCCAGGATTCCCTCCTTAGTTCTCGGGTCTCTCTGACCCTCAGTTGGAGATCAAGAAGAGCCTTTGTGAGTGGTCCAAGCAGGAGCCCTTGCCTCCGCTCACTTTGGAAAGGTGAAGATGTCTAAGCCCCCACCTGGCCTCAGCCTTGGCAGGGGAGCCCCAGGGAGTTGGGGGCCTGGTCTGGATTTGGAGCTGCAGGGACTGCTCATAGGAGTGGGTAGGAGAGTTCTGAGCACTTAGCTTTCCACCAGAGACAGAACAGAAGAGACTTCATGACTCTCAAGATGCAAAAGAGGCTTCTGGCAGGGCAGTAACAGAAACAAGACCATTTTTTACATATCCTTTTTGACTATTTTATTCCTTGAGAGAGAAAGAGCCAAGTGTTTAAAGGGGGAAAGGAAAACTCTGTCAAATAGCAGGTTTGTTGTTCCTTGGGCCCAGCATCTGGATTTTCCAAAGCCTTTCTTACCCTACCCTTTGCCAGCCTAGGAATGAAAGCTGCCCCAGATACAACTCTGGCTGGGGTGGGGAGGGTGTCAGGCTGCCTGGAGCCCTGGTATTCATCCATGAGTATAGCTCCTGAAGGCTTGGCTCGGGGTCAGTGAAGGGCAGAAAAGCCCTTCTGGCCTGGGTCCATGTCCCTGGTGCCTCTCCTGGGGTTCCATGTACCTGGGAGCCTAGCCACCCCTGTGCCATCCACCCAGTACTGAGTTCACCTTTCAGAGGATAGGGGAGGATCCAACCAATTTAGGTTGGCACTGCCTTAAGCCCAGCCAGCTTTGGCTTCTGTGGCAAGAGCTGGGTTTTTTTGGGCCATTCTCCAGGCCCTCCTTGGAGCTAGGCCTAGAGGTTCACCTTGCCAAGACAAATTGTGGTTGCCAGTGGAATGTGATAAAGTGGCCCCAACCTGGTAGACCTGCCAATAGTGCCTCTACTGGTTCCCCAGCATGGAATTCTGCAGGTCCATACGGTCAGGCCAGGCCAGGAACAGGTACCAAGAGACTGCCAGGCATCTCTCTGATCCATTGGTGAGTGAGGCAAGGGTGTCCCCTCTCTTGGTCTTGGCTGAAAACCAAAAGCTCATCATCAAGCCTCCAGGTTGACAGAATTCCTCCAAACCCATTTTCTCTGGGGAGCAACTCATTGCAGAA